TCCTAAAATTAGGAAATTATTTCTGTATAAAATTTACAAACCACAAAACCAGCACCTAATTGTTCCTGCTGCTATACTTTCATAAATTTCTATTCTGTGTTAAATAATAGATACAATTTATTTTTTATTGAGGGATGTGCGCAATTGTCCGGTGCTAAGACCTGTAGCACTGCGACTTGCATAGAACTATTGTGCTCGGCCTTTTTAAAAATTGGCTACCTATGTTTTAATATAACAAACAAGATTTTTTTTTTATTTTTAGCTAAGAAGCTAGTTATATAAATAATAATAAATTATTAATATTTTAAGTTCTCTAAAAAAAGAATAGGTAAGTTGTCAAAATTCAAAGCTATTTAATCTATTAAAAAAACAATCTAAATGTCAGTGTTGCATACCATTCTGTAGACGGTTTTACGTACAGTATCAAGCAAATCGTGATGGAATGCTTGAGATAAATTCTTCTTAACGAGCGAAATGACTCATGAAATTTGTATTGTTTATGCCGTCAGGACTTTTCTAATTGTTTTGGAATAATTCACATTAAAAACAACGCGATTAATTTACTTGCAACAATTAATATGAGCCGGACAAATAAATAAATGGCGGCAACAGCATATTAGTGAAAAACGAAGTGGAAATCCTTAAAAATATCATCTAGCACATATTTTACACATATATATACATTAAGCCGAATAAGTCGGTAATTATGTGTAAAATTTTCACGAACTAATTCTTTACAATTCTTTTATCACATTGTTTATAGTGTGAGTAGATCTTTTTAAACTACCAATATGTTCAAATGTTAGTAAAATACTAGTTTCTGTTTACTTTTTATTTATATACTGTATATCCTAAATGTAAATGTAAAAGTACGAATCTTATGGAAATAAATTAAGTTTAAAAATCACTAATTTAAATTGATAAATAACATAAATACTTTCCGGAACCTTTAACGGAATCGAAATGTCATTGTTTTTATACCGATGGTTATGAATAATTGATCGTAAGGTGTTATGAGGTGATTGGCGGGCCTGAATTAAGTGGCTTTATATGGTATATTAAAGGTAGATTTAATTATACAAATAAATTATAATAACCATCACAAAATTAGAAATCCACCGAGAGACAAATATACCTATTTATAATTTTTTTAATGTATTTTAGATGTCGTAGTTATATATTATAGTGATAATTAAAATATTATGACGGTCTTGTTAAGTTAATAAAGTAGAGTTCCGTGCTTCTATATTGTTTTGTTATAGATATAAATTATTTATGGTGTGGTGATGTTAGTTCCTTCAATGTTACCATCTGGTCTCTTATTTAATAATTTCATTGTGAAATGAGAAAAAACATTATTGATGTCTATGATTACTTTACATCTTTATATTCATATGCTTTTAATGTTAAAATCTTCTCTATACAGCATTTTTATAAGATAAAAATGGAATCGTAAATCGTACATAAGTAGGTAATATCTTTTCTTTTTTTAACTCTGATTAACTTAACATGATTGATAATTTAGCAATCTCATGTATTTGTAATTAATTAGAAACTACGATATATGTGTACACGTGTGCTTTTTAGAGATAATATTATAAAATATTTTAAATATGTCTACGTTTTAATTATAATGAAAAAGGATATTATTAATTTAAGCGATATTATGTAACAGGGTGGAAACAAGTGGAGGCTTCTTCTATCTTTTATGTAAAATTCAAATATAATATATAATTTTATAATACATTTTGTATTACCTACTATATTTTTAATGTAAGGGACATTTTCCGAAATTTCTGGATACTTTCAGTATCCAGAAATTTCGGAAAGTAAATAAATATCAATTCACATATGTACCATATTTACGGTTTTTACACAACCTTATTATTGCTATTAACAAAACGTGCAGCATTAACACAAGCGGCTATGTCCGTTATTCATATAATTTCGATTTATATATTACCTTTAATAATTACATAAACTGTCTGCGGTTATTTTATATATAGGACAAATGGAAATATAAAATCATTTGCAGTATAACTAAACTGTGACGTAAACGAACGCTAATCATATTGTTTATAAAAAATATTTTTTCGACTTACATTTTAGTTGACACGGTCCTCCAAATTTTTAAACTTAATGAGAATGTTTCAAGTACTTTAAAGAATAATAGCACTCAATAGATAATTTAACTAATCGACGTTTAAAATGAGTACTGAAGTCAAGTATATTTTTTTATGAACAGTGTGGGGCCTTACCTGTTTGTTTTTAATTCTAAGCAGAGTATTATTTTTCTAATTTCTTTGACATGTGAATTATTTTTATATTTTTAAATAACCTATTTCCGTCCAATATTGTTATTAAATTTAGTTTACTATTTATTTTTAGGTTAATTTCTTAATTTGAAAATAAGTCCTATTTAAGTGCAAATTTATTAATAGTAGATATATTAAGAACAGTTACAAAGATTGGCTATAAAGTGCCTGAAGAAATATGTGAGAAATAGCGTAAGTATCCCGAGTTACGACTCTGGATATATATAGTAGGTATATGTACTATTTACCATTTATCTATATGAACACGGGGCCCCAGTCATAGAGGTCATAGATGACTATATTATTGTCAGCAACTACAAGGAGTTACTACTATTATGCGCTATGGTTAAGCCTAGGATTATGTAAAGTGGGGCTCTGCGCACAATGTTTGAAAAAATATCTACTTATACTTAGACTTCAAATATATTTATTTGATACTTCGATACCTAATTCTTTTTATTAAATATATATTATTTTGTAATAAATCTACGTAACCACAAAATTAGCTATTTCAAATGTACAATATATTTTTCAAACATAAAAGGTTCATAAACAATAAAATTAAAATAAATTATATCTACGATATAGGAAAATGGGGGTTAATCTCCAATGTACCCATAGATATGGTGCTATAATGCACAATTATTTTACAAATTTTTATTAAGTTCGATTAATGTATAAAATATTATTATATTTTTTTTATATTCAAATGACAGCTTTGTGGTACTTAAATGACTGTGTATTTTGTATGAAATAAAGTGTCGTGTCATTATTGATGCAGTTTTATTCTAAAATAAGCTTATGACGAGGATAAGCCGAGTCAAGACCAAGGCCGATTCAGTAGCAGGTCAATGTGTTCCCTCTAATATATGAGTACAAATGATTTTTGGACCTTCTGTCCTTCTCGTTAACGGGTGCTCCTTGTGGGGGACTAGTCTGTTTGGGTTACGGCCACTGATTATTTCCTTACAAAAATTTAATAGCATATATTGGTGGTCTCTACTTTCTTGCTAATTGAATTTAAAAATGAATCTGTATTTTTACAATCGTGTATAAGCTCATTTGAAAAGAATAACAGTCGAGTTTCTTGGCAGGTTTTCCTAGCTCGAAAGTACTTCGAATTTACAGTAGATATGACATACATAATAGTCTGTAGCACACCTACATGACTAAAGCTATTATGATTTGAATTGAAACGAAAATTAAACAGTCACTTTTTCGCAATACGTGTATGTGTAGGCATCCTAATTTATCCTCTTATATTTTCGGCAACATAACTAGGGTTATTTAAACAAAAACTATTGAGCAACATCATAATAGCAACCCCATAGGTATAAGGAGAATACAAAAAATACAGAAAATCGATAGTAGTATTAAATGAAAATTACAAATTTTACTCTGACAGCATAGTCAAAATACGAATACTGCTGGATGTTAGCTTACTATACGTTACACGCTGTAAGTAGGTATATGAATCGTAAAGAATGAAATAAAATCCCAGTAATATTGTACACTAGTCATATTTAATCACAATATTAGGTACAATTTTCTGCATTAACTAAATATACTTATGTTCTCAATATTGCTATACAGTAATTAAAAAACATACTATATTTTTCAACAATAAAGAAATACATTCGAGAGAAATGTATATAACAGGTACTTAAGTACATAACGTTTATTATTGCATGACAAAAATGACAAATAAAAGATGTATAAAACGTATGATCCTAAGCAAAAGCGGGAGCATCTAGATATAAGGCAGAAAATATTTCAGCTCTGACTAACCTTGGCCAAATAAGACCAAGAGTAGACTTCTTGTCAGAGAGCTGAACACGTAGAGGGTTAGGACGTAACACCTACTACAAATGCAATTCTAATACAATCTAACGTAATACAGTGACTTGAGGTAGTTCAATGGCGCTGTGTAACAATAGGTACGTCGAACTTACCGTAAGTACCTGCCACTTTCGTATTTTAACAGAAATAAGAATTCATCTTTTTATATTTCACATAATAAACTATCTTGGGATGTCTTATAATAAAAAACGGTGCATAAATATCGTTTGCATAAAATTCAGAAACAATATTTTTTAATAATATAACTAGACTTTTGGTTTACTTATTTTTAAAGAAGTATCTTCAGTAAGACATCTCAAGAGAGTACTAATACTAGAAGTAATAGACCATTCGCCGTTTTTCAATTTTATCTTCTTTCCTTTTCCCACCAAAGCTATCATTTAGAAGTTTATAATCTTCAGATAATAATTAATGAACAATGACAATCAGAATCTGATAAAACTTCCCAAGTACAGAAATAATTCATTTATTAACAATATTTAATTATTAAGACAAACATTCAAAATAATATATCATATTCAATTTCATTAAAAATTCTACAGTTGTATTTACCGGCTTATTGCAGAATAATCCCTTTAAGTTTATGCTTTTAACATAGATAGCCAAACATATTAGCGAAGTATTAAAAACAAACGGTAACCAAATACGTATTAGGTATATGATTTTTATAACATCATATTTTTACTATATTACAAAATAAATAACATATAATAAAATAATTTAAACTACCTACATAGAACAATAACCGGTTTAAAATAAATACCTTCCGTAGAGAACAAAGGTTATGTATCTATTTTATTAAAGTCAAAATAACATTTTACATAGTCACTTAACTATTCTCTGCCAACATTTTTTTCTTCAAAACCTCATCCCACACTTTCAGTGCCACACTCGCGTCTGTCTCTTTACATTCATAAGTTGCATTCGGATGCTTCCTAGTATAATGCCTCAACACATTTTGTTTGTGAGAAAATTTCTTTGGACAAACATGACATGAGAAATGTTTCTCATTTGTATGTGTTTTCATGTGGTATTTTAATCTACTTTCTTTGGGGAACTGCTTCATACAGACGTCACAGGTCAGATGCTTCACTTTGTTGTGCCTCAACGCGTGTCGCTGCATGTTATGTTTGTGGGCAAACAATTTGTTGCATACTGGACACTCGTAAGGTTTCTCCCCTGTGTGTATTCTCATATGTGGCTTAATCAATCCGGGATGTGTGAAAGATTTATTGCAGATATTACAGGCATACGGTTTTAAGCCGTTGTGTAACTGAATATGTCTAATTAATGTGCTTTTGTATTTAAAATTCATGTCGCAAAGTTCGCACGAGAACGGCCGCTCAGTTGTGTGTCTCCGTAAGTGACTTTTTAATAAGAACTCCCTCTTAAAAACTTTATTGCAAACATGACACACTATAGGTTGGTCTATTGGTCGTTTGCAGCGACTCTTCCCTTGGTGTTTTAGCAAGTTTGATTTTACTGCAAAGCCCCGGTGACAAACCTCGCATTTGAACGCTTTGTTGATTGCATGGATCCGCTTATGCTGGAATAAATTTGATGACGTTCTGAATTTCTTACCGCAGTCGTCGCAGTCGTATAATTTCTCGCCAGTATGTACCCCAATATGCTTGTCAAATAGTACTTTCTTTGTGAATTCCTTTTGGCAAATGTGACAAGTATATTTTGTTCTACTGTGTAGTGGTAGATGGCGCTGTAAGTTTGCATTGCTGGCAAAACTCTTGTTGCAAAGTAGACACATAAATTTCGATTCTGTATTGTCTTTCAGATAGCGCTCTGGTAAGCTTGTGAGGGAAACTGGAATGAAAATAGGCTCGTTAAAATTTATCATAGATATGAAGAAACCTGAACATATAACATATTTGGTTTAAGCGTTTTTTGTCAATTTATATAGTGTGGCGATTTTTGTGTGAAGTTTAGGCATTAAAAGGAAAGTTAATATGAATTGGACCAATTACAAATGTATACAGTGAATACAGTTGTATCCATCTAATTATTTATATACAAGTGCAATAAAGTATAACATGAACATTTTATTGTTAGAAATAAAATATAATCATGCAACTCACCTGGATATACAAAGTCAGATGTATTGGGTTGATATATGGTAGGCTCTACTATGACTGTCTCGGGTTCAATCTAAAAATGAATGTTAAAGACATAAACAAAATGACTCTTTTCAATAATAGCTAAGAGGAAAGAATAACAACTTTAGTAACTTGCCATTGTCACTACCTCACAAAAAAAGTACATGGAGTACATAGAGTTACAAAGGGAAACAAATATCAAAATTATTGAATTTTAAAAATGATATATGCAAAATGGAGTTTATAACAAAATATATATTATAACTTGACTTATCTACAGATTAATTTAATTGCTAATTTGCTTGAATGTGTATGGGACTGTTATGATTGAGGGCTTTAGACTATTGTCAGGTGTTAAGACCTGTAACACTGCAACCTGAATAGTTAGAATTGTGCTCGCCCTTTTTAAAAAATCACTACCTAGACCCATGAGACACAAGAATTGAAGAATATTCTTACAAGTGGCTAAAGGTAATAAAAGTAGGTAATAAAAAGGTAATAAGAAGGTAATAAAACCTCAGGATCTATCTCGAGTGTGTCTAAAGTGTATACTATCCAAAAAAGATCTTTCGTTTATGCATGATTGGGCTATAAGCACAGCAAAGGTATAGTGGTGTTTCCCATTCTGCTTAGCAAAATCTGCAGATTGTGTTGGAAGTATAATGCTGGCCATCGTAGAATTAGTTGTTTGTACATTTTTATAGAATATGTCACTTTAGAATATCTCAGGAATGTTTGTAATGTCAACATATAAATTTCATCATTTTAATATATTTTAATATTTAATCTGCTGCTGCTTTCTCTTATTTCCAAAAGATTGTTGTTAAGCTAAGACCTAATTTTGCCTATTGTGTTTATGAGATCTTTAATGAAGAGCACCACATTAATAACAAATAATTCGCTAAGAATATGAGAGGTAAAAACATATGACATACAATAAAAATATATAATAAATTAGATTACAACAGTATGGAAATGGAATAATTCAGTTCTGCTTGTAAGATTTACAAGTATTTAGGAATACATACAAGAGTTGTATTATTTATTATAAAAAAAGTAATGTTACTTACATTGCCATCACTGTCAGGATCCACTGGCTCAGATTTGACACTCACTATGAACTCATTCTGAGAATCTTCAGCTGCAGGTTCTTTTTTAATTGCATGATGCCATGTTGAGGGTGGTGGAGGGCAATCGGCCTCCTCACTGTCAACTTCTTGCTTTATTCTAGATAATGAAACATTAAATAAAATATAGTCTGGGTATGTTTATATTAAGTTATGTTATGTTATATTAAGTTTTCTGAATAAAATGTACCAAAAAATTTAATAAATATTATTAATAATAATTAAAATAACCATGCATGGCAATAATAGAATTAAAATTTTCATAATTCTTGATTTAAGTAAAACAATTTTCATTAATTTCTATAGAGTTGTTGAAGCTTCCTTTTGAGCATAAAAATGCCTGTGCCAGGAGGCTCCACTTATCCTTATATAGTTTATATAGTAATTTTGAAAAATATTCATAATTTATTATAATTTCTTAAATTATACAATTCAATCTTAAAATAGTAGTAAGTATTACAAGTATCTTGTAATAGTAGTATTACAAGATACTGTAAAAACATATGACACTATAATTCAGCTGTTCATATGTTTTAAGACTGACTGTACTGTATATTACAAAAAGTCTGAAATTAAATCTGAAATAGCTACATATACACAAATACTTCATTATTACATGCCTATTTATTTTTACTTCTTATATTGTTGTATACAGTCTATTTCATAATTGTCTGTATTTTATATAGTTCTTTTTATTTCTAAACGGATTTGACCAAAAAAGTATGATTAATATATTTCAACATTAACCTACAAGTGTAGCATAAATATTTTTAGATATCATAATCAATTACAGGTGGTTGTAACTTTGTAAGTTTTGTATATACCTTTCAAACACTGCAAGAATATCTTAAATTGGTGCAGTGATTCCTGTGTTTACTTTCCTATACCATGAGTGCTGTGGCATGATGCGGGTGAGAGTTTCATTAATGTTTCGTTTCACACTTAAAAGTTGCAGCGAATTACATATTATAATTTAATATTTTAGCTGTAAGTACCACATTTGTAGTATAATTCATTAATAACTGTATTAACTTAAATGTAGCAATTATTAAATGTAAAATTAGTAACTGTCATCCGCTCCAAGCTACAGCACAATCAATATAATAAAAAAATTAACCTCCTCTGTACAACATTGGCATAGATTTGAAGCAATGTTGTTATTAGATCAAAATATAAATGGTTATTCTGAACCCCAGACTAAATTTAAGGGCAGTGATGGAACAACAATACACCATATAGAGAAGTACTGAAAATTGTTTACACAAAATAAAAAAGGATATTAACCTGTCTACATGGATAGGTACTTCCAACTCGGTCTTTATGTTAATAAATTCTGGTTGAATGTTGATAATTAGTGTTTCACTATTATCTTCTGGTACCGTTGGCGAGTTGTCATCAATTTCTTTGGGCTCTATCTTGACCGTAATATGCTCGAGAGACATTATTATAGCCGTATTATCTACTTTTCTAATTTCCGAATCGGGAATATCATTTCGCGATGTTTTTTTTCGGTTAAAATTAGGTCAAAAAACGTATGCAAAGTAAGAGGTCAATATTAGAAAAGCAATCTGCAATGTACCGCTAGATAGAAAAATAGCATTAATTTGACAAATTGTGACAAACAATCAGACAGTTTGTCAGTTAGCTGTCAGTCCAGTGTTGCCAATCGTATCGAGAATTCCAGTACGACATGTTTAGTTTTTCGTACTATTTCTTACGTATCTTGTATTCGAAAGTTTGGCTAATGGCTATTGATATCTCTAATTATTAGAAAACAAAGTAGAAAGTTAAATAAATAAAATCCTTGTTTTTAGATTTAGACAAGATTATTAACATCTTTACATACTGTAAAATGAAGTCGCAGCGCAGTCTGTTCGGTTATATCTTTCAAATTATACAACTGATTTTAATGCAGTTTTCAGCAATAGGGGAGGGTGGGGCAAGACAGGGTAGTTAAGGTTTTACACTGAATAAAACTCACATTTAAATAGGGACAACCATATTTTCTTTAATTTTACAAACTTTGGTATCCACTTAATTGTATAAATAACAATAGACTCACATAGGCTTATTATTTTTCTCACAATAAATAGTTAAAGCGAAAAGGTCACTTTGCCATCTTACCCCATACCTGGGGTAAGACGGGGTACTCTATAGGGCACACTGTCGTGTCCGTCGGTGAACCATTTTGTTTCCGTAAGTGAGTATTGTTTTTTGCTTGAATTATTGCGATTTTTGTCTTAAATGAGAGACTCATTCCTTTGTAATATATTTAAATTATGCTTTGTACCATCGAACAGTACATATTATGTAATTTAAGCCGTGTTTAATGTTTTGGTCATGAGGATTACGTAATATTGCTCAGTTCTGGTTAAATTTTATTTGATGGTTTGGGGCAAGTGTGCGCATACGCATGTCCGGTAAGTGTGCCAATGCGAACACGTCAATCATTTATACTGTAAGTCCTTATAAAGTAGAATTGGAAAAAAGAAAAAACAAGAGAAAGAATAAATTGCCAAGAAAGAAGATACGACTTGATCTGAAAATAAAAAAAAATGATGAGCAGGAATTCTTTTGCCCACTGTGTGGAGAAAAATACATATTTTCACCGAATAAACACTGGATCCAGTGCAGCATCTGTAAGAGCTGGTGCATGAACAATGCAATAACTTTGAAAAGGAATTATTTGAACTGATGTATTATTAGGTTGAGGACATCTATTTTCTGATTTATCGTATGAGTCTGACTCTATTTACTGTATGTTACATGTTGCCTTGTTGTTACCCGCACTACTGCGCACAGTTACCCCTATACTTGAGTAAGTGTACGCATTTAAACAGTTTTGATTTTGTTGATTTCCAAAGAATTTGTGTAAATGATAATTATTTATTTTGCGCTTAAGTTTAAAAATACATACAACTCCATATTTTCTCCCTTCAATCCCAATTTTTTAATAGCGTTTTTAATTTGTATGGCATGACAATGTTAGCGGGGTTGGCTAGTTTATGCAACTTTTAAGCCAGTAAATTATTATCAGGTAGCGTAGTCAAGGGCAAAAGTAGCACTATATTTATCATTTGATAATATTAATTAACTTTGATCTTTATTGCTCATAAAAAAGATTTACAATTGAAATTTTATCTAGAAATATCAGTTGTATATTTAAAATGTGCACGGACTTAAATAAATGGATATTTTGATACTTTTTTCGACTATTTTCTGGACTCTGTTATGTAAGCATATAAACTGTATATGAAACTATAATTCTGTAATATATCTTACAATAGGAAATTAATAACGCTGAGCGCAACGTACACTAAGTGAAGAAAAAATACCAAATCATTAGGTATATTGAAATTCCATAATGTTTGTTGTCCATCTATGACGATGATAGGTCCTTATGTTATTACCTATATTATTAGTTATAGAAACAAACAAAACGATAAAGAGGTCTGAAGGATAGACAGATATAGGTACATATACACTTTCACATTTATCTTATAATATAGATGAGAGGTAACTAATATCGATCCAAGGGTGGGAGGTCAGGAATTGATAGTTATGGGGACAAGGGACTCCTTTGCTAGTACTCTTTCGGGTCGACCTACACACAATCACCCCTGAAAACCCCAGAGGTTAAATCTTGGTTCAAACCGTCACGACGGGATGGGCTGATTGACTTGATTTCATAATCCTTCTATCATCCTTTATTGGTGCCCCGCCAGCAGATGTATATGCCGCAGATTAATCATACATTAAATTTTAAATACATCAATAGAATGGGTCAGGGACGTCTTAGTAATGGTACTAGTACCTACTAGCGTATGCTAAATGTATTATATTAAGCGACCTCTACGCTGTACCCCTAGAAATCATTGTAATTAATTCTCTACGAATTTTCTGAGATGGCGGAACTGATCTGACTCCGAGGGGTAGAATATTTGAAATATATCCAAGTACTATCTAAATGGTAAGTCACTTTTCACTAAATGTTCTGACACATTTTAAATTGCTATTTTGTTTATTTCAGGGATTTTATCTCCTCAACGTGAAAGTATAGTCAAATGTATGGTTATGGGTATGCCAAAAGTATTTAAAAGTTACCAAGAATCAATATTGCTACCAGGGGGATATAAACCGACAGAACTTAACTACGAAATAATAAAGTATGTAGGTTTGAAGGTCGATAATCGAATAATTTTCGACCTTCTTTCGAACATTCGAGTAGAAGTTTAATTACAGATCCCTAAAAGTAGGAATCTGTAATTAAACTTCTACTTACTTGTATTCAAATTAAGAATGTTAAGTCTCACACTGGCCATATATAGTAAACTGTGCGATGTACTAGTTTAAATGTCGTTCTATCTGTAAATACTTTCGTTACCATATCACACCGTGTTGTGTGGGACTCTGTGTCGGACGCAACCGAATATTCATATAAAATATGTATAAATATTTAAAAATAAGGAAAGTCGCGTCTGTCAGCGGCCCGAATGTAAGGAGCCCTGTACACGTGTATTTAAAAGTAGTTTTACGTAAGTAACGTTTCAAGTTTGAAACTTGATCTAGACGAGAGAACTAGCTATTCACGTAGATAGAGACCCTCCCTATTTATATCGTGGTACTCACAAAATTACCCAATTTCTCGAGTGTTTATGCTTGTGTTGTATATTATGCCTATATAAGAAACCCCCAAATCTCAGAAGATATAGATAATTGATCGGTGAGGTCGCAAATATTTTTAATCTTGAAATGGCGTTTGAATTTGAAGTTGCATTAACACGTCTCATAATGTAATCTTACATGCAAAAGTACTGTTATGATATTATTGATCTATTTAAATATATACTTTTAGATAAATTAATATTTTATGTAAAATCGAATATTAGAGTATATATATTTAGATATTTATTATAGAGTAAATGAGAACTCTACAACTCAAACTCTTAGTAAAATATTGTAGATTGGTGCATATGGTAATGAAAATTTTAATTTGGTAGGTAAATTTAATTGCTTGTAATACATCCTTTTTGAAGGCCGCCAGATGGAGGCAAGTTCCGTCGTGTCAAATATTCAGATTTAGCATCTGAATATAGCAAAATTGAGGATAATGCGCTAGAGTTACAAATATACGAACCATATTGGAAGGATGGCGATTGGGTTTTTAATGTGTAAGTTTGGTACTAATTATATATTTTTTATATAATTTTGATCAATTTGTAATATATGTATTTATCCAATATTTTAATTTTTTTCGAGGTAGTTAGAATTCATTGATACCATTCTCTCACTTATTTGAGCCGGCCGGCATGCTTTCGATGGTAATTACGTCATGGTATTTACTGTTCATGTATATAGGTAACAGTTACCACTTCTCATCCGACGGGCCGTCAATTTGTTTGGAATTCTATTTAGGTACCTATGTAAAAGAAAAAAATACATTGGCAATATCTTTAAACTAACGTTATCCTGTGTACAGAGTAGCCATATAATGATGATTTTTTATTGAATTAATTGTATTATTATCTAATGTTGAAGGTAAATGTAATTTAAAATGTATTTGTAAATGTAGAGTATCTATGTAAAATTTGCATGAAAAATGTATGAAAAATGTAGAAAATGAATAATTTTAAATTTGCAGGTTAAAAGTAAAGTATTCATACCCTTCTCGCATACCTAAAAGCGTGTAAGTGTATGTTTACATAAGTAGATGTCTAATTATTGGAATAATTGAATAATGCTATGCTCGATAGTAGTTCTCATTATTAGGTACTTAACAAACCCCTTCTCGTGCCAAAAAGAATGCAAAACAAACCTGGATTGATCAATTGTTATCTGAGTAACTCCTTGTCATTAGAGTCGCTACAGACTAGTGCAGATATGTGGATGCCCATGCTAAAACCAATAATTACTGTCTTATACTCGTATAGTAAGTTATGTTTCTTCTTCTTCTTCTTAGTCGGTACACTCTTGTCAGAGTGGTCGTGGTCAACATTTTGAATCACGATGAGTGAGGTTTTTGGTAATACGGCGCCATTCGTCGCGGACTGTAGTTAGTTATGTTTACGTACATCCAATTCTCGTAAGATTTTTTAATATTAATTATTTTTTATTAGAAATTCACTTAAGAAGAAGGGCTTACACCCAGGACGTACGACTCATCGACCTAAAGGTATTTCTATACACTTATTATTAATATTATAATAACCGTAAACAATTCACACTGGACCATGTAGTCCCAAGAGCAGAGCTTGAGTTGTAGGTACCTACAAGACAACAGATATGTAGCAATACTTACCATAACTAGATTTCTTTTAAAAACGCCCAGAACAATACAAACAATCATACTCGCGGGGAATCCCACCCACGACCATCAGAAGTATTTCTTTGAATTAAACATATTTTATATCATGTGACTCCTTTGGACACACATCGCTATATGTCGCATACCGATGCACATGCATTGCCAGTCCTGAGGACTAGTGTCTCATGCCTCAGTACCCCGTAATATGTACTTATTATGTAAGTATTACCCATGCTTGTTATATAATTCCTCTAAATTCCTCTTCATACTTA